GTGGCACTTTGAAGAGGACATCCCTAGCATTCACTTTTGATTGCGTAAAACGAGTGCGAAACGGGCATTATCACTAAGGCCTTTAGGTATGGGCTGACCCTATTTTAGCTGCAAAACGATATCTTGGTATCTCCGCTATCACCTCTTTATAGCACGGCCACTTACTCGACTCCGAGACAAGGCAGCAGGGTCTCGGTGGAAGTGTCACATCGTCGGCTATTCGCAAACGGCCGCATGGTTCGTCGCAGCTGTTGTCGGCATATGGATGTGCGCAAAATGTCACAATACGTTGAGGGATGTTGATAACAGCGCCATGATCTTGAAGAATATCTATGCCCAGAATTAGCTCTTTACAGCAGTCTGGCAAAATGACGTAAGTGGCCACGAAGCTAAAATCCCCCATGCAAAATCGAGTGGTACACTTACCCGTGGGAGTCATCAGCTGATCACCAGCACTACTTATCTTATGTGCGGCCCTGTCCACGGTGTCTTGACCTTTCTAAGGCGGTCGCCGAGCTCTTGTCGCATGATTGAGATGTCGGTGCCAGTGTAGACCAGTGCTGTAACGTGATGTCCGTCAATGAGAACGCTAAGATCAGCACGTAGAACTTCATCAGCATTATTATTCGTCGTCGTATTCATCGTCGTTGTCACCATACCTTCTTGCGATGATTGGGGGAACTTTTCAGTGTGTCGACGATTGGCAACCTTGCCCCCCGAGGTCGCGTCAGTTAGTTTCGCCGGCGCGGGCTAGGCGAACGGCCTCTAGTGACGTCCGCGTAGCTCTGAGGGAAGTCACGGTGACGCGCAGGTGATGGAGATAGCCAGTGACGCGGTGGAGTTGCTTGGCCAGGCGACAGTTGATCGGGATTGTGGGCACGACGGTCTTCATAGAGGAAAGAAGTGGGACGAGAAAAGCTCCCAAACCCGGAATTGCCATGATGGCAATAGCGGGCAATGTGACCGGGTTCTCAGCAGCGGAAGCAAATAGGTCGATGGTCAGCCATGTGCCATAAATCAGTTCGGCGAATTGGTGGTCGTCTCATAGAATACCGTTGTCATCAATGTACGACAGTGGGTCGTGGCTGGAAGAGCGTCACCACAAATGACGGTGGAGGACGACGGACCGCATCAGCGTAGATCGCTGGATGTGGCTCAGGACTTGGCGCGGGTGGTGTAATGGCTTGCCTCAACACCTGACGGGCGATTTCGGCAACAGATGCGACAGGCGGTTAGGTAGGGGGAACGTAGAAAGCCCGAAGTTCCTCACGCAGTATTTCCCTAATCATTAGTCGCAAGAAACTTTCACATACGGCAGTGTTTTGAGCTGCAGCACTTACTGCCGTGTGGTTCGGCAGGCGGTCAAAGTGTCGGAGTCATTGTGGCAGTGCACGCTCGATGACAGCCGCCTCTCTTATGAATTCATGTACTGTTGTAGGTGGATTTCGTACGAGGCCTACACATACTGGTTCTTTGACACCCTGGATTAGGTGACGCACCTTCTTCACCTCGGGCATGTCAGGGTCAGCTCGTCTAAACAGACGGATCATACGCTCTGCGTACATGGAGGCTGTTTCATTGGGTTTTCGCACGCGTACCTCAATCAGTTGCTGTGCGCGATCCTGTCGGTTCGAGGTCAAAAATGTAGCGAGGAGCTTTCGACAGAAATCTTCCCAAGATTGAAATGTAGCCTCGCGATTGTCGTACCACGTGTGAGTGCTATCTTCCAGTGCGATATATGGACGGATAAGTTTGTGCTTTTCGCTCCAGTGGTTGGATACAGCGACCCGTTCGAACTGTTCGAGCCAGTCCTCGACATCCTCGAACTCTTCCCCACGAAAAACTTCAGGAGTGCGAGGATGTTTAGGAGTCACCTGCAAAAGAAGAGTCGTCTGCAATGGAAGGATAACTGTGGATGTAATAGGAGCTGCCATGCTGGACAGAGGAGGAACAGCTGCGGACTTCACACTTAGGTCTAGTAGGCACCTACTGAATCGGTGCTCGGGAGTCGTATCGAGGGGCTGAGTCTTTGGACTAGGTTAACGGGTCCGAGCAAGACTGTCCTGCATCAGGTTGTAGGCTCCAGCATCTCCACCAGTGTCACGACGTGAAAACAGAGGTCTTGCCGCAGAGATTGAGACAGCAGAAGTGGGTCGGTCTTTTTAAAAGAACGCGCAAGCGATTTCTTCTTTTTCATCAATTTCAAAGTCCTTCCTCGCACATGCACGACTGCCATCTTCTTTCTTGATCAAGCACGTGAGAATATTTTTGCAAGTCTTTCAGATATTGTCACTGCTGTTTATGAAATCTCTGTCGAGATTTGAAGCAGTAGTATAGCTTCGTTACGTCTGGACTACATCAATATTGCAGGCAAGTTTACAAAAGAGTCTTTACTTAAAGGCTAAATTCCGTTATCTTCAAGGCCAGTGGATCTCTATAATTTGCTGGGTACGTTTCTTTGCATACTTTAAGCATTTTACCCAATAACAAGCACGTGAGAGAAGCAGATTCTTTACAAAATAACTTTATAGGTTGCCTTGATTCTCCAGACTGACTGCTCACAGTTATTATCAACATTGTGTGTGTATTTACGTCTGAACACTTACGTAAAATTGATAGAAGTGACGAAACCAAGGTGCCACTGATTATCCTTCAGTCACAAGGCAAAAATCAAGTGGGTTGCTTAGACAACGTGTCCTTGGTTAGCCGCGCGAATTTAAGTTCGCTGTGGGCATGCGTGCGATAGGTGGCAGGTGGTGCTACATTGTGGTTGCAGATGATTCCCCGTATTACCTGAACCTGAGCACCTGAACATTCACGAAACACTTTGATGTAACGATTACTTTTCGTCGCAATTATGGTGTTTGTGCTAGCAAAAGCAGCTTCCTCCAAGGACACTGTGCTAATAATCTTATAGGCTGAAGAGGGTGCATGCGTGTATATTACGGTAGCGTACTAAAAGTTGACATTTCGGTTGCCAAATAGTTTCTATTACGTCTCTAAGGCGCACCGTGACCACGCCTAGCACATCCCGCGAATGGTGGCACCTACTTAGCTTAAATAAAATTGTTCAGCCCTTTTCTCTTCACTTTCCTTTTTCCCCATTACTTTGACCCTTATGCATGGTAGCGAACCGGATGCTATAATTTTTCTTGACTTCCCTGCGCTTTTTTCGTTTTACTTTCTCTCTCTGTATCTTCAATCCGGCTAGCGTTTTTCTTAAACTCTGCTATGCCGAAACATATGCACTCTTTCTTTAGAAGTATATACAAGCTTCAGTTAGTGGCCAAAGTTTTCAGCGGTGGCATTTTACCGACCACGGCTCCACAATTTTGAGCGGCCAAGACAAGTGGCGCATCTGACAAAGGAATGCAGAACCAGCAATCGTCATTTTTCTTCTGCAATTTTACCAGGCCTCCACACTCTTTCGATTCTGAGCTGTCAATTCCCAGCAGCTTCGAGGAGCTTGTACGAGTAGCACGATCAAAAAGAGGTATGGTGCAGCTGTTGCGATGGCGTCCCCTTTCCATTGAGCGTCTGCTCTTCACCGCTTTCCTAGCTTTCAGATTACGCGCTGGCGAGACCGCGATGACTTGACGGTTTCTGGTCTGCATAGTTTTTGCCAATTTCTACGTGACACGAAGACCATACTGTGGTTTGGATTCGATTTCATTGTCGCACTTTTTGCTTATTGAAAATTATCCTGAACTTTGCCGAGAAGTTGTGCTATCAGGCACAGGACACGATTGTCTCAGGTATATAAAAGCACCCTTACATTTAAATGGTCGAAAAATCGCGAGAGTCGGCCTTTAAGATGCTCAGATATGGTTTATCACTGCGTCCTATTAACCCGTCATTGTTAGCATTTGAGGTGGTAGTATCGGCCCCACCTTCGATAACCATGAATCATCACCTGCAATTTGTGTGACTGGTAACGCGCATGCCATTTTTTGGACAAACTGTGGTCCTCTTCCTCTTAGAAGGGGCGTCTCGTGTGCTGCCATACCAGCTCATGATTCCCGCAAGCGCCACCGTCGATCCCAGATTCGACCAAGAAAAGCTTCGCTAATAAAATATTCAACGATCACTGCTTGAACAGTCGACAATGTTTTGTGAGTGCTCATTGTACTTAGCAGGTTTTGTTAGAGAGTAATATATAAATGTTACTGTAGGCTGAAAATTTCTACGAGAACATAAGAGCGGAAACGGTGCTCTTGAATGCAACGCCCTTCTATCTTCCTAAAGTGGCACCCAAATACTAAACCAGCTTTCGTGAAGTACTATGCTATCTGCCTTACTGACAACTGCCTAAGTGTAGTCGGGCCGGGAGATGATGCGCTGACACCCCTGCTACAAACTGTACTAAACAGCTCACTGTCAGCGTGAATGGTATTTACCTTTACTAAAGAAAAAATTCTGCAGCTTGACCGGTAAACGTTTTTACACCTCATAGTTTCTGTGTTGCAGTTAGACAGCAAAAACTTGTGCGACTGAGACACAGACGGCAGAGAGGCATGATAAGATGCGCTATGCGCAAGCAATTGTCACTTTGTGGGTCTGATCTCGTCTCTCTCCCACCGGTGTCTTCGTCATGCGACTCTTTGTTTATTAATGGCTCACCTATATTCACAATTGACAATCTGGTATCGTTCATTAAAGTTCAGATGAGAAGATTTTTTTTTATTGCAAAAGTTACCTTGCGCACCAATCAAGACGAAGCTAACTTTACATAAACATTCAATATCTCACACAAAATTATATTATTATTAGCTAAACCCGTTTCCTACTGAAATAAGTGACAAGGAACACTCAGGACACTTCCAGAATTCAAAACCCAACTGGTAATATATTTACAATAATAATAAGCAACTTGCAAGTGAGGCTGTTTATCAAACACAGCGTATTACCTAAAAGCATCGCTTGATTCCAATGAAACTATTATTGGTCTATAGAAGAACTACTGTTATTCTGCGCTAAATCGTAAATAAATATTCACTTACAGCTCCTTAAAAAATCTTCGCGAAGACAATTTGTGGCGCTCACCTTAACTCAGCCACGAGGAGCGTCCTTTAGAAGCCTTTATATAATGGAAAAAGAGCTGTGCGATTTCTATACATACGCTCGGCACGAACCTAATCACTTAATAACGGTAGTGCCCCCTGTGTTTGAAGCTTGTGCGTGAAAGGGTGGAAAGAGAGGGGGAGGGTTCCATGGGACATACAGCGTCGCAGCTCCATGGGTGTCTGCGTCTACGGCGCTTATTATTGATGTCATACTATGAAGGCTGCAGTTTCCTAACACGACAGTTCGCCCAAAGTAGCGCATGTGCTGTCACTTAAGCAAGCTTGCTCAACCAAGCGAGCCTAGAGTTTCAACAACTTCCGTGACAGAGAAAGGCAGAACAGATGGAGACGACGCACAGCTAAAACTCTCCGAGTTAAATTAATACCACCACCTGATATACGACTACGCTACGGCAATAAACAGCTCAGAAAAGCCCTGTCGTTATTTGATTGCGCGTCGTGGTTCAGTCTTTGGTAGCGCAACATTTTCTCGCGCAGCAGCTTTTTTCTCTATGAGGTCTTGTTGGAAGCGCTTTCCGCTCTTGAGAGCTTGAAAACTGTTGAATTATATTAAGACAGTCAAAGCACCTATATCGCTGCCTAACATGCGCGTACTAAACAGGCTCTAGCCACATACATCCTGGCCCTTAGGACGACAGGTCCAAAGCTCAGGGATTTATGCAGTGAATAACCTCAATAAAAAAGAGACCTTGGATGGTTGATGCCGCGTGGTTCGACGTTTCCACAGCGCACGAAACCAAGACGACAAAGAACAGCACACAGAAACACACAGCGCTGGATTTACAACTGTCTTTATTTTCTTTTCATTGTTTAGGGAAATGTAGTTATATGCAGGTTTCCCAGAAAAAGAAGGCGAACAGAAAGGAAGAAGAAAAACAGTTGTAGGCAAAGAAAACAGTTGTTATACACGCGTATTTACTGCAATGAAACATAGAAGAGTTCGCGATGCCACACTAGCTCAAAATTTTTTGAACGAGGAAAAAATGTATTATTGTAGCTTAGATTGCTCCTTGGAACTGGGGAAGTAACTATTTATCGATGAAGTTTGATAGGGAGCTATTCCTTTCTTTGACTAAATTTGCATGCTCCTTCTTCTGTGCTTTTTCAATTTCTCCTGCAAAAAACACATAAAGGCGTAAAGGGGAAAGCATACAAAATAAAGCCAGTAGTAGCTCAGCGTTGTGTACATCAACATTCGTTGTTTTCGTTCAGTGCATTGCGAAAACATTGAACCTTGATAACCATTTTGGATTCCGTCAAGATCACTCGTGTAAAAATGACCTGTATGAACTCGTCATGCATATTCCTTGGCTCAGTCGACCTTACCGAGACACCATCTTCATTGACAATTCCAAAGCATTTCATCAGGGCCCATCATCATAACTATCAGCCTTACTACACTCACGAGCGGGAAAAGGCCTCTGCAATGTTCCCCCATGCAACCCGATGCTGCCTGCAGCCTCGTTACACCTGCAAACTCAACTTTCTGTCTCGACCTCACGCCTCTTATACAATTCTCGTATGAGGCCTTTCTCAAAATTTTCCTCAATTACATGGCATGCACATCATGCTTACGTATCTAACCTACTAAAAGAAGCTCAAAGTAAAGCAGCTGGGTTCATCTCGTTTCCATACACTGGTTACAAAATTGTGTCATCTCTGAAAAAAAAATTGGTGAATTTTGAAAGTTTTGTGCACTACAGCAAACACAACTGCGGAGGTTTCTTGGCCTCTTTGGGTTTTGTCCCTCAGGACTAGAATATATTTTTTCCATTTAGGTATGTAGCTGCTTTCTTTCATTCTCTTCTGCTTGGTAACTCTTAAGTTGCTGTAACAAACCTTCTTCCTCCCTTACAAGCAACGACCCAGTCTGACGACGTTCATAAATAATGAAAGGGTCGAGCAAGAGTGTTTATGTAGAAGAGCAGTATGTATAATGGATGAATTTTCCGTGGCTGCCGTTGTAAAAGTGTCCATTTTCTTCAAAACTTATCAGAAAGCACCTGAGCAGGCAAGGACTAGGCTTGTGCACTGATGGTTAGTACTTTAGCCAATATTGATTACTTAAAAAATTAGCATACTAAGGTAGTGCAAGTGTTGACCCTTCTACAAGGGCTCACAATGAGCAGGGCGTATGAATCCAAGTATGGCATTGAATTTTACAAATAAATCGCCGATTTATGTAATAATCGGCAACGTATATAATTTATGGAATACCTGGAAGGAGGTGTGCCTCCCTAATCTACCTAGTATAATCGCTTGCTTCTGTTAGCACAAAATGAGTGTAGATGTTTTTTTTATTATTTTATGAAACAACCTCTGAAGCTCAGCTATGACTTAGAGAAGGATGGGTAATTATACTCCACGTTATGTGAATACACCCAGAAAGCACACTACTGGAATGCACGACACTTCTTGGAGCGGCTTCGGAAACTGCGTCTCTGTTACTTTCTCGGTGTCACGTACGGGCCGTCTGACAGGGTTTCTGTGTTTTCGACGCAAAAACTGAGCTCTGATAGGTGCGTTAGCTTTGCACACAACTGATCAGATGCCCTGAAACAAATCATGCACAACCTATGTATCTACCATGAGAAGTTTAGTGCATAGAGCAAATATTATTCGTGACAGCAGCTACACGCTTTATGCCGCGTGGGATAAAAAAACAGTTCAAGCGCTACGCCGCGATGTGCGACGCAAGAGCAGCAATACATAAACTAAGACCTGACAGCACTACAAATAATTCGTGTCACTAAAAAGTATATGCCCAGCTAAGACAAACGATGCTACTTGTCAGCGCTGCAAGCACCAATAAAAGTGACAGCTCCAGGCTGTACCGGCGTTTAGCCGCTGCCTTCGTCGCGAAACGATTATGCTTTACAGTATCGTCCGTGTTATTGTAACAAGAAAAAAAACCGAAATGAGAACAACTACAAACGCAACTCAAATTCACCACCTCTTGTAATTACTGACGTACAGCAAACATATCGTAAAAAAATATTATTCACAGCGCCGATGCATTTTGAACTGTTACTCCGTTTATTATCCAATGCCTGAGAGAGAGTAAGTGACTGAACGATTCGCTGGTTTTCTGTCTCTGATGCTTGGCGTATAATAATAAGTATAAGTAATAAGTATGGTGAGATAAAATGAGACAAAATCTTGAGAATAGAGGGCTTTGATTTTTATTTCATTCCTTACCATTAAAGATGAACGCAGAAACTTTCAAATGGGTACAACGTATGTGCTAAATAAATATTACCATGTCGCCACTATGGAAAAGACTATATAAAAAATCAAGAAAAAGTGCACCACGTGTCTCAATTTGCTCCAGCCCGCAAGGCGAACCAACACGTCGCGCGGGAGAAAACCAGACAGTGTAAATATTCTTTTTTGTTTTTGCAGTAGAAATAAATGAAGTTCACTCTTTAGGCCCTCACGCAGTCTTGTACTCAACACAACAATTGCAGACAGAACCCGGTGATGTGTTGCACCGGAACTCCTTCAGATCCAACACCGCCAGTCGTTTTAAAGACGACAGTCGTACTTAGGGTACTTCGACGTAAAAATCTTTGCCTGTCTCTCTGTCTGTCTTCCTGTCTATCTGCACATTTGCCTATTTTTCCGCCGAAACATTACCCCAAATGACAAAAATGTCGTTACCCCAAATGATCCACAGAGCTTACCTATATTGCTCAAGCTTCACCATTCATACTTATGCGATTGTCAATTAAGAAGCAATTATTGCGCATATATGAGACACTATAACAACACGTCATTATTCTGTATGTGTGTCAATATACTAGAGAAGGCGTATATATATATATATATATATATAAGTAATTTTAAGGACCGGAGCGTTCATCAGGCTGCGCGGAAAATGCAACGCTATGCAGAAAAAGTGTTTCGAACGCTTTGCTAAGACGACATGGTGGTGGCCCCTGCCCGTCACTTTGAGTTCTACCCCTTATCACCTCCAAGACAGGCGTGCACGCCTTCCTTCAGTACAATGTTCAGTACAATACAGTGCAAGTGAAAAGTTGATATAATACAGAAGGAGGTCCCAAAGTAAAAACTGTCAGGGCGACTTCCTGTGAATTCATGTATAAAAATATAAAACAAAGATTGGCAACTAAGAAAAAAAACAGCAAGCGAATAAAACAAAATGAACGTAATGAAAATGAGATAGCTAATTGAATTGACTATAACATAACATATACATATCACTAACTAATAAAGTGTTACTATTGAACCTATACACGTACACACATATGCATATAACCGTATTTAAGCACACACACACACACGCACACACACACACACACACACACATATATATATATATATATATATATATATATATATATTCAGGTGTCGCATGTTGTCGTTTTGGAAGATAAGTGCCGGAGAGTGCTTTTGTGTAACGTGCGTCCGTGCGCTCGTTCACCTCTGCTGCATGGATCAAGGCACTCTAAGGCAGTGCCTCCAAAACAAAATTCACCGATTTTCACATGCAGATCATCAAATAAAGGTTTTGTTTACTCTTTCCAGACGCAAGAATTTCGTCTTTTGACGACATTTGCAGTGAAACGTACAGATACGGGCACAATTTTTGTGCTAAATTTGTGTTTCGGTTACCTGTTCCACCTCATCGAATTATTCAACAATTGGATGGTAGATGTGTTATGAGGTATCATCGTCACCTTTTTTTTTGCTGTTTTGACGAAAAACTGCCCAGGCGTTTTATGGCTTCTAACTTCATCAGCCGGGCTTCGTGACCTATTGACTATAAAACAGTGCTATACTTGGGTTTTCTAGTGTTCGTTTTTTTATTAAGGTGTTCTAGAAACCTCATTAGGTCTCAATTCCAAGACGTGTCCGTGAAGAAAATAACAAGGAGATTCCACCATTTTTTTTTATGTGCCTCTTGAGAGCATCCCTAGGGACACGGAAAAACCTCCATGGACT